TTCGCGCCTTTTCGGCTTTCCGACGCTCCAAGACGACCCGCGAAGCCTCCAAGACTGCCCCAAGACGGCCCACGAAGCCTCCAAGACTGCCTTGCGAGTTCTGAGTTCTTTCTATCAAAATGGCAAACAGGCGTCCAAAATTGGTCGTTCGCCTTTTTCGCTGTCTGACAACACTGCTGCAGTCCATCGCGCCTGACTCATCCCAAGCACCGATGCTTCTTAACCGTTCCCACTCGGTTCGCAATGCTTTGCGGGCATCCTGGTTCCCCGCAGCTTCGGCCCTATAGACACGTGTCGTGCTGCGGCTGCTGTGCTCCGTGGTGGTTTAACCTTAGTTGGTGATGTATACGTCGTTGTCTTTGATGGATCCGACGTTAGAGATCAAAATAGAGACGCAGCTTTGTTCCAGGAGCTTTCTAGCGGCCCGGCCACCATGCAGGCCAGCAGCGCGGCGTATATTTATGGCCCATTCGAGAAAGTGCAGCCACCGAACGCACTCCCAAGCGCAAGGCGTAGGCGAGCGCGCGGTGCACATGGCGAGACTTTGCGCCGAGTGCGCCCGATCATCGGGCGGGTGGGTGCATGTAGGCGACCTCATTCAGAAGATGACGAACGACGGTATAACACACGCCACTACTGCTCTTGCAACGCACGGCCTGACAACGCTGCCACCAGGAGAGTTATGTTCTAGGCGTCAGGGCCGATGACATTGCGATTCGTGAACAAACGCATCTAATTGAGCAATGGCGGTCCTTTCTGTGCCCAGACGCCTCACACGACACAGTCGTTGATGAGGAATACGGGGACCGAGTCGTCACCATTGATAGAGATGAACGGGCTGCCAAGCCCATGCCACTGTTCTTTCGCGCATGTCAGGGATACTCTTGTTTTGCTCACAGCATCGAGCGCATGCATGCTCCTTACGAGTTCGGGATGGCACGGTGCCACGGGCATCTGCTGCATGCTACATCCAGAAGCCATGAAGGAGTCAACGCTGGGAGAAGGGATCATCAAGTTCCCGAACAAGCGTAGTGGATTGTGCAAAGCACCTGACTACGGACTTCTCAGACAGATACCGACGAGGCGCGAGTTCCCTATGGAGTATGCTGCGCACGCCCCTCACTGGCTCAGCCAGCGGAAGGACGGCGAGGCTCCAGCCGCCAGGGTACATCAGGCTGAGGGCAATGCCTCTGCCGGCGGTGGACCACCCAATCAGGGTGCTTGGCCTCGCGCAATCACCCCGTCTTTCTGGGGCACCGATGTGACACGCAATGGGAATCGGCAGAATGTTGTTGCCTTCAATGGACGGGTAGTGACCCGTCTTACGTATCGAATCTGTCGCGATAGAAATCTTGTGACCACGGGACAAGCACGTTTCAATGATATTTCGCGTATTGTACAATTGCAAATGGTTGAACAAGTTGGTATAAGCACCGTGCTATAGGTGATGTGGACCTTGATATTTTCACGAGAGTGGTCTGCGTGGGAGGTTGCTTTCTCGTCTGATACAATCAGAACATGGGTCTTCTCCGATGAACAAGTGGTCGACGTAGGACAAAGTACTCTGTCCGAAGAAGAAAAGGCCCTCATCATGCGGAGAATGTGGACTGACGATGGGAGGTACATTTGCGCTCAATACCATGCCGTGAGGGCTGGTGTTGTGTACTGCTTGCGTTGCCTTACCCAATGTCAGGTACAAAACATACGCCAGAGCGTATTCTATAATCGCCTGGAGGAAATGCATTGGTTGCTGCATGGACGAGACTAGGACTGAAACCGCGCCTTGATGCCACCCCGAGAGGAGAGAATCGATCTAAGATGATTTCTAACAGGCTAAGAGCAATGAACAAGAGCTCCGCTCATGCCTTGGACAATTTGAGCAAGGCCGAACAGCATCAGCGCAAATTGTTCATAGTGAACACATACGTTTCAAGACTGCTTCGGCTGGTGGTACATTCATGAATTCGCAGCCAGGGACCGTACCTTCCTGGCGACCTGACAGCGCCGCGGCACAGCCGCTGGCGCGTCACGATCCATACTTTCAATATATTGAACCCCTCGAGCTCAGGTTCATTGACTGGCTAGAGAACCCGCGTGGGGATGCTCACCCCACGGCTGCTCAGTGGTGGCCATTGATTTGGAAGCAGATCTGGACCAAGATGCTCGCCCTATGAGATGATCTGCACATGCCGCTTTCGATTGGGAATATGCTAGTGCAGACCAAATCCGACCGGAGACGGGCTGGGACCAGTGGGAACGAGAGATGGAGGAAAGAAGATGTGTCATTCCATCAGTTCGAGTGCGGGCGGATAATTTGGACGCAGCGAACCGAGCATCTGCATCGAACCAAGTAGGGGACGTAGATTTCCGAATCGTTGCCGGACTTTATCATCGGCCAAGCCGCAGTGATGAAGTAGTCTCGGAACGTGAAGAGAAGGCTGCGATGTCGGATGGCGTATGCAATATCCATATCGCACAGCGACATCCATTGCTTATTCCGAATAGAACGCTGCCCTTTTTGCATGACTTGATTTCTGTTTATGGTTGCATGTGTGGTCATAACTACAACAATGAAACATACGAGAGGCCAGATAGTGTCAAAGTTGCAACACAATTTGTTCTTGCATACTTACCGATTGCTCCAAATACAAACAAGCCCGTTGGACACAGACATTATTCATGACGCACCGCCGGGATTATCCGACCATGTAGATAAAATTTGGAACCGACCGTTTGATCGCATCCCCACCCATGGAAGATGGGGGCGGATTCTGTTAGCTGTACGAGAAGTCATATTTTTATTCATGTCCGCGGGGATCAATGTTGCGTTCACGGGGCATGAGGTGCAGCGTAATCCGCAATCCACCCAAATCATGCAATATGCTTGTGCTTTGGATTGTCGGATCCGAGCTGCAGTGGAGACATATGGCTTACTTCTTAATTGGATCAACGGATGAGAGAGTGAAGTATCTGAGACCGCACGACGGAATTGCTCAGGCATTCAAGAGGCCATGGTCTTTATACACGCGCCTACGGAGTCTCAATTTAGTGTCGAGGTTTGCCTCGCCAGCAGCCTCTTTGGGGTCTTTAATACTGATAGCGCCATTTGGATCACCAATTGCCTTATACAGAAAAAAGAGGAGGAGAGTGGCCCAGCCAACTCTCCAACCGAGACAGTCCCAGCCGAGTCGCCAGCAGATGCTGCAGCCCCAGTCGTTGAAGGCAGTACCTCGAGCGGCACCGCCGCCCCAGGGCAGCGAACTCCGCAATGCTCTCGCCCGGCATCGCGACCGAGGTTCCAGTGCGGAAGGCAGTCTCACCGGGCCGCTCCCTATGCTCCTGTGTCTGACGGCTCAGTCGCGTCAGGCACCAATGCCGGCTGGGCCCATTATGACAGGGTCCAGTCGCGGGCGGATGAATCCTGGACTGAGGAGCCCATCCCCGGAAGACTGGCTGTAGGGCCGGTTGGCGGCCGCGCGCGCGACGGCGGCGGCCCCCGGCCAGCCGTGGACGGCGTCTACGACGCGACCGTCGACTACGAAGACAAGACCGAGAATGGAGAAATTCGAGGATACGATGTACATGTGACAAAACGTGGCAATGGTTTAGTCTGAACGAGTACAACGACAAGTTCCAGCGCGACTCTGGGGCGCCAAGTACCTTGCCGGTGCCTCCCCCGCCGCCCACGCCGAAGGCAAGACCGCCAGAGAAGGGCCAGGGCAAGAGTGAGCCAAGTGGCTGGGGCTCGAGCAGAAGAGAGGACAGCTCCTCCAGGGGCCAGAACCAGTGGCGCTGGCGCAACAGCGATCCCTGGGATGACTCTCGTGAATGGAGAGGTCGATGGAGAAGGTGAAGCTGCGCAATGGAACCAGTGCGACAAAGTCGATACTGGTCCGCACTACTTCGTGGAACGGGTGCACCAGGTGTGCATGGGTATTGGGGACTGAGCTGGAAATATTAGCTCAGGCGGGGAACGTCGGGCTTCTTCGGCCTCCCGCCCCCTGGCAACCACCGTTGAGCGGTAAAATGCTTTTTGGGTTTCGCTTTGGTGGCTGTACATATGTACAGGCCAGGTGGGTTGGGGGTCGGGGCGGCTCTACGGATCCCGCCGCGGGGGGAGTCCATGCACCCCTTCCGCACCACCATTATTTCGCCCTGTCTGCTCTCTCTCTCTCTCTCTCTCTTTCTCTCTCTCTCTTTCTCTCCTTGCACGCGCTGTCCGTCTGCTGTACTGACTGACTTCTTCTGCTCACGCAGCTATATATTTTGGCTCTAGGGAAACGGAAAGGAGCGAGCTTGCGGCGCGCGCGCGTGCGTCGGCCGCCTGGCCGGCCTCCTCCCTTCAGCGTTACCTTAGTGTATGTTTGACGGCACTATCCCTTCTTACCCATGTCATCTGCGGAGCCCACTGACCATGATATATCATCGGAGCATCTTGCAGGGGTTATGAATATCCAGGCAAAAGACTAAAGCTATTGCGAATGTCAAGTTTCAGGATCATAGGTGGTGGGGACCGGCGAAGCGCCCGGTCCGCCTTGCCGACAAGCTTGCGGGTTCGACAGGGGTGTGTGATTTTTTTCAAGAGGTTTACGCCATTCCGCCGACCCCCAGAAATTGTGTGAAGTCCACGGTTGAGGCGGCGTGGGTGACTTGGGCATTATTTGGGGACTCCTTGTGGGCATCTTGAGAACTGTTTGGGGGCGTGGCTGAGCCTGTTGGAAGCAATTTTGAAGCGTTTTGGGGGCCGTCTGGGGGCTTTTGCAGGTGCGACAGGGAGGAGTTGTGTTTAAGGGAAATGGATCGAGGAGGAGGAGGAAGACGAAGAGGAGGAGGAGGAGGAGGAGGAGGAGGAGGAGGAGGAGGAGGAGGAGGAGGAGGAGGAGGAGGAGGAGGAGGGAGGGAGGGAGGGAGGGAGGGAGGGGGCAGGCGGAGGGAGTTTGAGGGAGGTGGAGGGAGATGGCGGGGTGTAGAGGGAGGCGGAGCAGCGGCAGCAACCGCAGGAGCTGGGCAGTCACGCGGGTTACCCCGAACCTGGTGCGGGGGGGGGGGGCCGCCGCTGGCCGCTGCTAGGGCGAGCGTGCTCGCCCGTATCCTCCCTTGCCTCCAGTGACCGCCTTCCTCCCTGCTTCCCCATTCCCGTCCATCATCATCCTCGTTTCTTCTCCTCCTCCCTCCGTCTTGCAGCTGCTCGTCCTCATCCTCACCCTCCCCTTGCCTGCTCTGCAGTTTCTTGCTGCTCTTTTCCTCCTCATCACCATCGTCCTGCTTCCACCCCAACGTCGGCGCGGCTCGGAGTTGTCCGTACCCTCATCGCCATCATCATCCTTCATGTTTTTTCTTCGCATTCGCATCCCCCTCCCCCGTTCGCTCCACTTCTCCCCTCCTCTTCCAAGTCGCAGTCAGGCTGCATGGTTTTCGAGGCGGGTCATTTAATTCGAGCTGGCGTCGTGGACAGTTCGGCGAAAGCGCTACAGCAGACCCGCAGAGGGAGTTCGCAGCTGTTCGTAGTCGCCACGCAGTGACTGCGTGTAGCGAAATTTTGGTCGTGGTACGGGGATGATAACCGCTGTGCGTTCGTGAGAGTAGGGGCGGTCCTGGAATAGAGGTCACGGTCGTGACGGCTGTAGTGCCAGCGGCGGCAGTGTAGCGGGGCGATTGCAGTACCAGCTCGCGCATCCGTGTCCGTAGCAGCGGTATAGTCAACGCGTAGCCAAAAGGAGGGGTGAGGTGTATTTGTTTGCAGCGCACCCGGTGTTGTCCAAGGCCACGACATGCTGCGTGAACCTGCCTCTCGTACCCAAGAACAGGGCTCTCGTGGGGTCGGGGTGCCGGGGCGAGGAAGAGGACCAGGAGAGGAGCATCGGTCGGTTTTGGGCGAGAAATTGGAGGGTGGGGGGTCTCACGAGCAGAGCTCTCGTGGGGTCGGGATGCCGGGGCGAGGATGGGGCCCAGGAGGGGGGCACCGGTCGGTTCTGGGCGAGACATTGTAGGGTGGAGGGTCCCAAGAACAGGGCTCTCGTGGGGTCGGGATGCAGGTCGCATTTAGTTGGTGTGCCGGTGCGTGGTTGGGGCGTGGTTGGCCGTGTCCGTAGGTTTCGGACAAGAAATTATCGCGTGAGGAGTCCCAAGAACAGACCTCGTGTGGGGAGGTGTCGGAGTAGAAAGTGTCGCGTGGGGAATCCCAACAACTGCGTGCGCGTGGGGTGGGGGTGGCTCTAGCACGTTCCTTTCCCTCAGACGCCTCAGGGGTCGGCGGATTTGAGCGGCGCAGGGCGTTGACAAACATCGACGATGCCGCCGCGTGGTCGATATTTGGCTGTTGTCTGCCGAGGGACGATGGCGAAACCGCCAGCTTCGAGGACTTCAACGGCCGCGTCCTCGAGGACTTCGACGGGCCCCCGACCAGAGAGGATGGGGAGGAGTGGGGAGGTGGGCCCGTGAGTTTGCAGAGTTAGCCTCCACAGCAGCGGACAGCGCCAGCCAGAGATGGCCCCCAGAACGTGGGCAGGATTGGCCTAATGAAGCGGAGTCACGCTGCAGCGCCTGCATTTTCACCTGTGCTGCGCGAGCGCGGGTTCGCGCTCGCCCGTTCCATGCCGGTTCCCTCGCAGCACGCTGGCTGAAGTTTAACAGCCGAGACTCTTCGTTGACGCCCTGAGGCGTGGCGCATCAGTGCCAGGGGTTCAACCCCTGCGTCTCCGCCGCCGCTTGCCGTACTTGGGCACTGCTGTTTGCGAGCCAGAGCGCAGGGGTGCCTTGTTACGGGAGCGGAGTTCGCGTTTGGCGTCCAATTATACATTCGGACCGAATCTGCAGGAACATCTCTGATTTCCTGGGCCCCAGACCGGTGAGTGCGCCGCACTTGGCGCGCAGGCCCAGCTTGCCCGCATCGGCACGGGCCCCCCTTCTTGAGGGGCAGGGGCGATGACACAAAGACTGTTACGAGTGTTGGGTTGAAAGCTCCAGCCGCTTTTCCAGGTCGACGGATCTTCTTTCCCGCGTGCTCCTCTTGATGTTTCTCCTCTTCCTCCTGCCGCCTCCTTGCAGTTCGCCTCCCGTGTCGCAGAGGCGAGATAAGGGCAATGGGCAGTTAGCTGATAGCCACCATCAGTGCCGCAAGCGTTGTGCCCAGAGCAATTCATATCAGGGTTCGTGACGAACCGCTCGTCCTTCACGCCGAGCGCATGTTATCATCGCTCGGCCCCTGCTCCGCAGCGAGGGCTGTGGTGCGGGTTGAAGACGACCCCCCAGTGCACTCTCTGTCAAGAAAAAAAACATCTTCTTAAAACGCAGGTGGGTGCCAGAAACTACCTGCGAAGGGAATGCCGGCGGTGGAGGCGGCCACGCCTTGTCCAGGATGGTGGGCGCCTCGCCTCGCCAATCACCTGGGGCACAGCCGTGCATGAGGCGGCCACTACACCTTGCGGATACCCATGCACGTTTTCACGAGAATATGCCCCAGTCCCCATAAGGGCCTTGGTGATGCAGCAATGGTGCTCCCAACTGGGAATGTAGACTTCGACGCCGCCATCGGTCGCGTCGAGCCTGCTGAACAGGTCGGAAGTCGCCAAAGGCTCAGGAATTCAGACTCGCATGCAATGAGCGCGTAGAAAAAGGGCCCTCGATCCAAGCACGTCACTCTCTCACAAGGCGAAGGAGCGCTCAAGTCGCACACATCACGGTGGTCCGGCGGCTGGGCCCCAGCGCAAGCCGACGGGCGGGGCTCGCGCCTGGCCTGAGCCAGAGAGGCGTGAGTGAGGGAGGAGGGATGAGGAGGGAGGAGGGAGGAGGGAGGAGGCAGGAGGGAGGAGGGAGGAGGAGGAGGAAGAGGAGGAGGAGGAGGAGGAGGAGGAGGAGGAGGAGGAGGATGACCAGTGCAATCCAAGACGGATCAACGATATTGCAATCAACCCTCCCTCCAAGTTCCCCCTTCATAGGTCGGATTCACTCAAGGAAGTGCCCCGGTGGAAGGCAACCGTGTGAAATCCGGAACTGTGCCGGAACACCATTCTTGGGACTTCAGCGCCGCGAATTACCTTTACTGTTGCGTCTTGACGGTCCTGATTCGTGCCAGAACACCATCCTTGGGACCTCAACACCACGAGTCGACGCAACTGTTGCGCCCTGACAGTCAGGCATCGTGCCACAACGCAATGTCTGGGACGTTGACCAGGAGAATCCTTGAAGCTATTGTAAGCTCTAAAAACGGGTGCGCGCGGCGCGACGGCGAGGACCACATTTTGGACAGGGCCGCCCTCCATTCGCAAAGCTCTTGTAACATGTTTTAGACGATGGCGCGCGGTGCTAGGGCGAGAGCCACATGTTGAAGACGACCCGACCTCCATCCGTGAAGCGTAAGTCGAATCTGCGCGACGCTAAGGCGAGAGGCATCTTTTGCAAACGGCCCGCCGTCCGTCCGTCAAGTTCTTGCATTGTTTAAGGATGATGTGCGCGGTGCCAAGGTGACAACCACATGTTGAAACCGGCCCGCCCTCCATCCGTGAAACTGTTGCACATTCGAAGCTTCATGATCCTTAACGGTGAGGAAGTCTGAGGCGAAACGCCAGGCCCGCGCTGTCGACCGGTCCTTGAGGTGCGACAGGGATAGTTATCTATAAGGCAAAGGAATGGAGGCGGGAGGACGGAGGAGGGAGGAGGAAGGAGGGAGGAGGGAGGAGGGAGGAGGAGGATGAAGAAAGGAGGAGGAGGAGGAGGAGGAAAGAAGGAGGAGGAGGAAGAGGAGGAGGAGGAGCAGGAGGAGGAGGAGGAGGAGGGGGAGGGGGAGGAGGTTGGGAGGAGGGAGGAAAAGGAAGGAGCGGGAGGAGGAGGAAAAGGAGGAGGAGGAGGAGGAAGAGAGGAGGAGGGGAAGAGGGAGAAGGGAGGAGGGGGAGGTGGGCGAGGAGGAGGAGGAGGAGGGCGCATGAGAGAGAGGAGGAGGAGGAGGAGGAGGAGGAGGAGAGGAGGAGGAGGCGGAGGAGGAGGAGGAGTGGGAGGGAGGAGGGAAGGAGGAGGAGGAGGAGGAGGAGGAGGTGGAGGAGGAGGAGGAGTGAGGAGGAGGAGGAGGAGGAGGAGGGGAGGAGGAGGAGGAGGAGGAGGAGGAGGAGGAGGAGGAGGAGGAGGAGAGGAGTGGGAGGAGGAGGAGGAGGAGGAGGAGGAGGAGGAGGAGGAGGAGGAGGAGGAGGAGGAGGAGTGGGAGGAGGAGGTGGAGGAGAAGGAGGAGGAGGAGGAGGAGGAGGAGGAGGAGGGGAGGGAGGGAGGGAGGGAGGGAGGGAGGGAGGAGGGAGGGAGGAGGAGGAGGAGGAGGGAGGGAGGAGGGAGGGAGGGAGGGAGGAGGGAGGGAGGGAGGAAGGAGGAGGAGGAGGAGGAGGAGGAGGCAGGGAGGAGGGAGGGGAGGGAGGGAGCAGGTGGAGGAGGAGGACGACGACGAGGAAGACGCTGAGGATGAGAAGCAGCATCAGCCGAAATGTCAGACTTGCGCAGGGGAGACGAAGGGCGCGGGGCAGGGGCGCGGGGCAGGTGCGCGGCAGGACTGGCAGCCCCCGCCCGCCTGCCCCGCCTGCCTCTTGTTTCCGCTCCTTTGCTCCTGCCTTTGCTCTCGCTCTTGCTCCTGTTCCTGCTCCTCCTGCTCCTCCCCCCTCCCTCCTCAATGCTTCTTGCGGAGCTGCCTCTTTCGATGCATCGCAGCCCATGGCTCTTCCGCCTCTTTGCGCTTCGCTGCCTCGCCGGCCCCGCTCGCTTTGTGTTTTTTACCTAACAGCGAAGACTGATAGGTTTCTAATGGGGTCAAAAGAGAGCATCTGATGACTCCCCAGGGGGGTCTGGGCGGGAGCCCGACAGGCGAGGGCCGGGCTCGTTTTAAGCAAACAGTCACACACTTCGTGCTCTTCGACCTCCCAGAACTCCATTCCCGGGCCACATTCTGAATGCCCGGAGCCAACTGTAGGCCACTTCGTGGTCTTCGAGTTCCCAGAACTCCATTCCCGGGCCACATTTCGAATGCCCGGAGCTAACTGTAGGCCACTTCGTGGTCTTCGAGTTCCCAGAACTCCATTCCCGGGCCACATTTTGAATGCCCGGAGCCAACTGTAGGCCACTTCGTGGTCTTCGAGTTCCCAGAACTCCATTCCTGGGCCATGATTTTGAATGCCCGGAGCCAACTGTAGGCCACTTCGTGTTTTTCGAGTTCCCAGAATTCCATTCCCGGGCCACATTTTGAATGCTGAGGCAGGGCTGATGCTGAGGCTGAGGCAGGCTGAGGCTGAGGCAGGCTGAGGCTGAGGCCGAGGCTGAGGCAGACTGAGGCTGAGGCTGAGGCTGAGGCTGAGGCTGAGGCAGGCTGAGGCTGAGGCTGAGGCAGGCTGATGCTGAGGCAGGCTGAGGCTGAGGAGGCTGAGGCTGATGAGGCTGAGGCTGCAGGCTGAGGCTGAGGCTGAGGCCGAGGCTGAAGGCAGACTGAGGCTGAGGCTGAGGCTGAGGCAGGCTGAGGCTGAGGCTGAGGCAGGCTGAGGCTGAGGCTGAGGCAGGCTGAGGCTGAGGCTGAGGCTGAGGCTGAGGCTGAGGCCGAGGCAGGCTGAGGCTGAGGCCGAGGCTGAGGCAGGCTGAGGCTGAGGCTGAGGCTGATGCTGAGGCAGGCTGAGGCTGAGGCTGAGGCTGATGCAGGCTGAGGCTGAGGCAGGCTGAGGCTGAGGCCGAGGCTGAAGGCAGACTGAGGCTGAGGCTGAAGCAGGCTGAGGCTGCAGGCTGAGGTTGAGGCAGGCTGATGCTGAGGCAGGCTGAGGCTGAGGCTGAGGCTGCAGGCTGAGGCTGAGGCAGGCGGCTGAGGCTGAGGCTGAGGCTGAGCTGAGGCTGTCAGGCTGAGGCAGGCTGAGGCTGACGGCCGAGGCTAAAGGCAGACTGAGGCTGAGGCTGAGGGCTGAGGCTGAGGCTGAAGCAGGCTGAGGCTGAGGCTGAGGCAGGGCTGATGCTGAAGGCTGAGGCTGGCTGAGGCTCAGCAGGCTGAGGCTGAGGCTGTGGCTGAGGCTGAGGCAAGGCTGAGGCTGAGGCTGAGGCTGAGGCTGAGGCTGAGGCTGAGGCTGAGGCTGATGCTGAGGCAGGCTGAGGCTGAGGCTGATGCAGGCTGAGGCTGAGGCAGGCTGAGGCTGAGGCCGAGGCTGAAGGCAGACTGAGGCTGAGGCTGAAGCAGGCTGAGGCTGAGGCTGAGGCAGGCTGAGGCTGAGGCTGAGGCAGGCTGGCTGATGCTGAGGCAGGCTGAGGCTGAGCTGAGGCTGATGCAGGCTGAGGCTGAGGCAGGCTGAGGCTGAGGCCGAGGCTGAAGGCAGGAGGCTGAGGCTGAGGCTGCAGGCTGAGGCTGAGGCTGAGGCAGGCTGAGGCTGAGGCAGGCTGAGGCTGAGGCCGAGGCTGAAGGCAGACTGAGGCTGAGGCTGAAGCAGGCTGAGGCTGAGGCTGAGGCAGGCTGAGGCTGAGGCTGAGGCAGGCTGATGCTGAGGCAGGCTGAGGCTGAGGCTGAGGCTGAGGCTGAGGCTGATGCAGGCTGAGGCTGAGGCAGGCTGAGGCTGAGGCCGAGGCTGAAGGCAGACTGAGGCTGAGGCTGAAGCAGGCTGAGGCTGAGGCTGAGGCAGGCTGAGGCTGAGGCTGAGGCAGGCTGATGCTGAGGCAGGCTGAGGCTGAGGCTGAGGCTGATGCAGGGCTGAGGCTGAGGCAGGCTGAGGCTGAGGCCTGAGGCTGAGGCGACTAAAGGCAGACTGATGCTAGGCTGAAGCAGGCTGAGGCTGAGGCTGAGGCAGGCTGAGGCTGAGGCAGGCTGAGGCTGAGGCTGAGGCAGGCTGAGGCTGAGGCTGTGACTGCGACTACCGTTGCCACTGCGACTGCCATCGCGAATGCGACTACGACTGCGAGAACAGCAGAATTATACAACAGGATTCTCATCTGAATCTTAAGGGGAATGTTTCCAGATATGCTCCTACTCATCGCTGTTAGGTTGCTTTGCCGGGATTTGTTTTTCTGAGCGTGTCGCCATGGGTGGCGGCGATGAAAGGGTTGGGGGGGAGGGAGGGAGGTAGAAGGTGTTTTTCCTGCTTTCCCTTCTCCTCCATTGTCCTCCCTCCTCCTCCCTCCTCCCCTCCTCCTCCCTCCTCCCTCCTCTCCTCCTCCTCCTCCTCCCTCCTCCTCCTCCTCCCTCCTCCTCTCCCTCCTCCCTCTCCCTCCCTCCTCCTCCCTCCCTCCTCCTCCCTCCTCCTCCTCCTCCTCCTCCTCCTCCTCCTCCTCCTCCTCGTCCTGCTTTCTCTCCCTCGATCACCAGGCGCCCGGCGCCTCCTCCCCGAGCCGCGGGGCAAAGCGTCGGCGGCCCATGCCGCGAGGGGGGGGGCGGAGCGCCCCGCCGCGCGGAGGAGGACGCGCGGTGGCGCCCCCTGGACGAGGACAGGAGGCCCGCGCGGAGGTCACCCGGCGAGACTTTCCCTCTCGAGGCATCCCAGAGAGGGCCTCGCCTTCGGATCGAAGGAGTTGCCATCTCTTCCTCGGCGGAAGGCCGCGGAAGGCTGGCGGAAGGCGGCGGAAGTGAAACCGCCACATGTTGAATCGGAGCTTCACCCTTCGAGACCTTCCCGCATCTGATGCTGGATCGAAGCTTCACCCCGCTCGCGTCCAAGCGGGCACGGCGCGCGTCGTTGTCGCCCGTCGTCCGTCGCTACGGTCGGGAATGTTTGGAACCTCAGCTGCCTCGATACGCCCGTCTCGACACGCAACACGTGCCGTGCCCAAACTGTCAGTGTCGATACGTTGCGTGTTGGCTCACCGCATCGGCCCACGTTGTTGGCGAACGCACCGCGTCAGACCTGCGCCTTCAGTCCACGTGTGGGGCTCCGGAACAATACGCTGCTTGCTGCGTGCTGCGTATCGGGGCAGCCGGGTTTGGAACCTTGCCTCCCGCCGCCGCGGAGCGGAGCGACGCTCTACCCGCTCGCAGGGCACAGCGCGTCGCCAGGGCCGCCGCGGAGGCCCCACCCCGCCAGGGCTCATTTCCATCGATTCCTCCGGCTCGATTCGGTTCGACTCCGACCGATGCTGGTTTCGGCCTCTCAGTTTCGCTTCGCCTCTGAACTGGTATGAATACGCCCGAGAACGCCCCGGCGTGGCGAAGATGGGAGTCTGAAGTTTGCAGGCTGCATTAGGGTAGCGCCACGGTGCTGTTCCACCCATCCCCGCAGTGGGACAGGCTCGCCTGATGCGGTGGCTCTTTGTCTCTCTCTCTCTCTCTTTCTCAGTGGAGGCCTTCCTGGCCTGCTGGTTTCCGCCGACTCGACTTCTCCCGACTTGGCTGCCGATTTCCGCCGATCCGAATAATTTGGATCGCTGATCCGACTTATCGATTGGAGGCCTTCCTAGCCTTGTGGATAGCGCGTCGCTCCGCCGGTTCTGGCCCACCACGTTGCGGCGCGACACGCTACGGTCGAACCAAGGTATGAAATCTAGGTCGGTTCGGGGAGGGTACTTTTATGTTCTTCGTGTTTGTTGGATGTTCTTGTGTATCCTGGGGGAGGGTACATACTACCTTCGAATGCTCTTCGTTTTGTACCCGGAGGGTCTCGTGTTCTTGAAGGATGTTCTCCTGTCCTAGGTCGCTCCGCCGGTTCTGGCCCACCACGTTGCGGCGCGACACGCTGTCCGTGTCGCGGTCAAGAGGCATCAACTCCCCGAGCCTCTGCCTTCCGCCGCCGCGGAGCGGAGCGACACGCTACCCGCTCGCAGGGCCTAGCGCGTCGACGGGGCCGCCGCGGCGACACGCTATCCAAAAATGCCCGACCGTAATCGTCGTAGTCGACAGTCGTCGTCCGTAGCTCAGCCGCGAAGCAAACGGGTCCTGAGGGAAGCGGGCCATGGGGTCTCTCGCCGTTTTCGGGCCTCCGGGGCCCGCCACGGGCCCAGGGACCGTCAGAAAACGAATCACGACGAAGTGCTGGTCTAAGGGGACGGCCTTGGGATCCAGGTTCGGTTTCCCTCAGGATCCGCTTGCTTCATGCCAAGCAGTCGTCCGTCGTCGTCCGTAGTCGACGAGCTCGTTCATTAGCGTCTGGCCGAGTCGGCCGCGCGCGGTGCTCTGGTGGTGAGGCGTTTCCCTGGACCGTCGGGCCTTCGGGCGAACCATGGCTGCACACTACCTACCCCTTCATCATTGCTCACGGTAGACTCCACGGAAACGTCGTAGCGTACCGATGACGATGACGGGATCGAACGGGCAGCGCAAGAGGAGGGATAAGGAGGAGGAGGATGAGAGCCTTCTCTGAATTTCATCCAGGTGGAGGCAGGATAGCGGGCTGACTGCAGCTGGGCGTTGGCCGAAACATGTGCCGATTTCCACAATGGAGGGGATGTTGTGGTCGGCGTTGTTGGGAAAAACGCCGATGTCGGCCAGATTTGCCTGATGCCCAGAGGCTACTGCACACCTTGGGAAGAACCTCTCACCCATAACATGGACGAGTTGGTTTTCCCAGGATGCCCTTGTACGCTTGCCTTTCTCATCCCATCCTAGCTGGCGTAGTGCTTGTTCAGTGTGCCTCAGGGATGCCCTTTGGTGTGCTATGACTGGCGTGCGAGGACTGGACGGCTGCAGTCCTGCCGCTGGCGGAACTCAAGAGTGTGGATCGTGGTGTCCGTGTGTGTGCGCGCGTGTGTGTGTGTGTGCGCGTGTGTGTGTGTGCGCGTGTGTGTGTGTGTGCGTGTGTGTGTGTGTGTGTGTGTGTGTGTGTCTGTGTGTATGTGGGTGAGTGTGTGATTGCGTGTGCGTGTGTATTCGTGTGTGCGTGTGGCGCGGCCGCGTCCTCCCCTCCTTTTCCCACTCTTGCTGCCAGACAATGAGCGATGACGTGCCCCGGCTTGCCCGAGCGCGCGTGCGGACTGCCTTTGCCGCGCTGTGTGTGTGTGATGAAACGAGGCGCGTTGCCCGGACACTGGAAGCCTCTGCTCGCATCCATGATCAGGCTGTGATGGCTGGCATTCCCAGTACGCCGCCGGAGCGCTAAGCTGCTCCCGGCCCCAAGCAACGCCGACCACAAGTCTAGCATGTGGCAAGCCCCGCAATTGTGCAAGGAGGACCAGGAGGAGGGAGGAGGGGGAGGAAGTGGAGGATGAGGGGGAGGCGGAGGCGGAGGAGGAGGAGGAGGAGGGCCCCTCTTTCCCGTCCGCCTCCCCTGCCCCTCTCGTTTTCCCTCCCCCCTTTCCCCTCCCGCCCATCTCGTCCTCGATCCTCCTCCTCCTCCTCGATCCTCCTCCTCCTCCTCCTCATCCTCATCATCGATCCTCTCTCTTCTCGATCCTCCTCCTCCTCCTCGACACCCCTCGATCCTCGACCATCCCCGCCCCTCCCCTCCCCCCTCTCCCCTTCCCTTACCTCGGTGTCCCTCGTGTTCCTTTGCCGCGCCTCCCCTTCCCCATCCGCTGTCGCCAGCCAGGTCTGCAAAGGCGGCCATCGAGGCCATGATCAGCGACTTCCGGCTCTCGCCTGGCTGCGCCTGGACCCTCAGGGAACGGGAGAAAATGATGAAGGGTTGAAGGAGGAATGAAAGGGGGAAGGAGGGGGCGAAAGGGATGAAGGAGGGATGAAGGTGGAAGGAGGGGGCGAAATGGATGAAGGAGGGATGTCATGGAGGGGTGAAAACGGATGAGGCCGAGCAGGAGAAGGAGGGACGAACAGAGGATGGGCAGGAGGCAGAGGTGGAAGAACAGCACAGAGAACAGGAGTAGCAAGAGGATTCGAATGCTAGAGGGGGGATGTCTGTTGAGATGGCGGGATACAAATGGAGTGGGAGGGAAGAAGGGGGAAGAGGACGGGATGGGGGAGGCGTGGGGAGGAGGTGGAAGTGAAAGGGACATCGGGAGGAGGGAAAGAGAGATAGGGGGAGGGGGGAGATGAGGCGGGTTAGCAGCAGCATCAGCAGATGGAGGAGGACGAGGAGATGAGACAAATGATGATTGCCTGGGCTTGTAATGCAGCACATCGGATCGATCGATACAGAGATAGTCTTTGTCTGCTGTTAGTCGGCGATTCGTGTTTTACCCTCTCTTGCCCTTGGCCTCAATAAGGAGGATGTCGAAGAAGGATGGGGGACAGGGCCTGGAATAGTAGCAGCATCAGCAGGCGGGGGAGGAGGAGGACAGTGCAGGAAGACGGGGAGAGGAGACAAACGAGGACTGCCTGGGCCTGCAATGAAGCACATCGAGCCGATCGATACGATCCATTCCTTATAAGGGGAGCAAGCGATTAAAGAAATGCCCCCAATCCCCCATGGGCCTCAAAATTGATGAGTTGGGCAGACTGAAATTCCAGCCGCCAGAACTGAGGTTTTAACCATCTGCCCCTCCTGGCAATTTTTCTGCCGTCGCCGTCGTCACCGTCGTCGGCAATTACAGCGGGCCTACGCAGCATCCCCCCCCCTGGGGTATCCGCAGTGCGTCGTCGGCTTCGCGGTCCGTCGTCGTCGTCGTCGTTGTCGTCGTCGTCCTCGTCCGCGTCCTCATCCTCGTCGTCGTCGTTGTCGTCATTGTCCTCGTCGTCGTCGTCGTCGGCGTCGACTACAGCGGGCCTGCGCAGCAGCCCCCCCATAGCGCATCCGCAGTACGTCGCCGTCATCGTCGTCCTCGTCCTTGTCCTCGTCCTCGTCCTCATCCTCGTCCTCGTCGTCGTCGTCGCCGTCGTAGTCGTCCTTGTCCTCGTCCTCGTTCTCGTCCGTATCCTCGACCTCGTCGTCGTCGTTGTCGTCGTTGTCGTCGTCGTCCTCGTCGTCGTCGTCGTCGTCCTCCTCCTCCTCTTCGTCGTCGTCCTTCTGGTCGGCGCAGTCGTTCTCGCGGCCGACCGCGGCGACTGGGAGGAGCAGGCGGAGGAGGCGGAGGAGAAGGAGGAGGAGGAGGAAGCGGAGGAGGCGAAGGAGGAGGACGAGGCGGAGACGAAGGAGGAGAAGGAGGAGGAGGAGGCGGAGGAGGAGGAGGCGGAGGAGGAGGAGGAGTCAAAACATCTTACGCTTCAAGGGTATGGTTCGCAAATTTTTGGCGGCATCGGGAGCCCCCACCGGCCCCCCAGACAGCCCAGGATTGTCCGCCCTACGTCGGCCTGCTCCCCCCCTCCCCTATTGTGGCGGCAACCAGGCTGGCGACAATACCTTTTTAATCGTCCGCCCCAGATGTGTTCAACCGCTTGTTCCCATTATGTTGGTCGTCGGCCGATCCGTGATTTGCCCTCTGTTGCAGTTGTTGTTTCCCCTGTTTGCCTTCCTCTCATCCCCCTCCTCGTCGAGCTCTCCCTTGTCGTCCTTCCCTTGCATCTTGCTTTCTTCTCTCTTGCGTGTTCCTCCCCCTTGCCCTATCCTCCCTCGACAGATCGCCCTTGCGACTCTCCTCCTGGCGTTTCCTCTCTGGCTGCTCCTTGCCCGCACCCATACTTTCTTGTTTTTCCCGCTCGACTCGACTCGCGCTGGAGCGTCCACGATTTGGTCCAGATGTTCATTGTGAAGTTTGAGTTGCTTGAACTTGCCTACAGTAGTTACCCGGCTTGATCCCCGCATGCCGATTGGGGAAGAGAAGTCAAGCCCTTAGGGATCCACCCCGCTTGCTCTCCCTTCCATTGCCATATCTTGCCTTATGCCTCTGGTATTGGCCCTCTCTCTGTTACAATCCTCTCTGTCAATGTCTTGCGTTTTGCTGTACCCCTCCGTCATTGTCATGTACCGCCCAGCTCTTTTGGCGTCCAGAGGATGATGCGCTCCCTGCCCCCGGACAAGCAGAAGCTGGCGGCCAAGATTGACCCCTCTGGGCAGGCTCGATGCCGTCCTCCTCCTCCTCCTCCTCCTCCTCCTTCTCCTCCTCCTCCTTTTTGTTCCTCCTCCTCCTCCTTCTGCCTCTGACGCTGGTGGCTCTGGAGTCTGAAGCAGACGCAGCCATTGCCCCCGCCCGGCGGCGCCGTCTGGCGCGCCCGGGCGGGGCAATTCCGAAAACGGCTCCGTCACCAGTCCGACGGGCGGGGCCGGTGAGGGACGATGGGGGGGAGAGATCCTGGAGCTTCAGAACCCTGAGATCATGGCGTTGCAATTTTTCCACAGCTTGAGCGAATCGCTCAAGTTCGGGCCCTGGGGTCCTCACAGATCGATCCGGCTCGAGAAGTGGCACAGAAAGTTGGGGTCTGGGGCTGCGGGCGTGATTTTTGTTGGGTTTTCTCCCCCCATGCTGCATTTTTCAGCATCGTCGGATCTCAGGGGAGATCCTGGAGCCTCACGAGGGGGAGGGGTGGGTGCGCGCGCGTGCCGCGCATGCGGCCCGGTGGGCCTTGGGGCCTTGGGGGCCCCGCGGCTCCCCCTGGGCCGCCGCCACCGCAGCCCCGGCTCCCCTCCCTGTGGGAGGGCGGCACGCTCACACTCGAGGGAGCGGCGACGGCGAGAGACGGTCGCGCTTCAGGTGGGCTGCGGTGCCGAAGGCGTGGGTCCTGCTGCACTCGGCGCCGTAGTTGCGCTTCTGGCCGTGTGCGGGCCTCCGCGCTTCTGGTGGCTGCGCGAAGAGGTTGCGCAGCCTGTGCTCGCGGGCAGCCGCGCCTTCCCGCGGTTTGAGCAGCCCGCCGTAGTAGTTGAAGATGTCGGTGCGCTTATCGGGGCCAATGCGGAAGACCCTGACGTCGGGGTTCATGGTCTCGCCGTTCACGAGTTGAACGATCCGGTCGTCCTCCGGTTTGAGCTCTATGTTGTCATCATCGGCGGCGCTGAAAAGGACAGCCTCGAGCCGTTCGGCCTCGTGGTGGGCCTCCAGCCGGCTCTCGCTTCTGGCAGGTCGGCCCTTCCCGGACGGGGCTAACTAGGACGAGGATGAATCCGGTCCAGAGCGTTCCGGAACGCTCTCAGAGCGTTTGGGAACGTTCCGAGAAGGCCGCGGCGCCCGATACGTCCTCCAGAGCCGCCGGATCTCAGGGATTCTTGATTCACCCCCCAATGTCATCCTCGTTATCCTCGTCCTGGCTTCGCCTCATCGTGGTGGGCCTCCAGGCGGCTCTCGCCTCCGGCAGGTCGGCCCTTCCCACGACCCCAGGTCGTGCCCTGTGCTGAAGGCGGGGGCTCCTCGGGGAGGCGGGTGGCCTCCTTGGGGCTCCTCGGCGGCGTGGCTGGCCTCCGCGGCGATGTGGGCGGCCTCCTGGGGCACCGCGGCGGTGCGGGCGGCCTCCCACGAGGTCCCGGCGTTGCAATTTTTCCACAACGCGCGTTTTTGGTCAGTCTCGGGCTCTGGGACCCTCTCAGATCGATCCGGTTCGAGAAGTGACGCAGAGCAAAGATGGAGAGCCTTGGGCGTGATTCTTTGCGATGTCGCATTTCTTGCAACGTCGGATCTCAGGGTGGGTGGGCTCCGTGCTTTTGGCCCTCCCCAGTGCCCGGGATGATGGCGCCCCGCACGAGACCGAGAGACCGAGGGGTGCAGTCCTCGGCCTCTGCGCTGAAGGGAGACTCGTTCCAGTCGTTGGGCCCCTTGGGGCCCTTCTGTTCCTTTGGCTGCTGCCGGGCCCTCGGGTCCTCTGGCCTCTTCGGGCCAGCGCCCCGGAGGGCGCCGTGGGTCCCCCTCTTTCGAGGTGCCCTCCTTGGACAGAGCTGCGGTTCCAGCTTGGGCCGTGCCGTGGTTGCCCTGGTTCTGCCACCGCCTGTTCTGCTCGTGGGTCTCGCCCTGCAGCTTCTTGATAACCTGGGCCGGTTCAGCCACCTTCGAGGGGTAAGGTGGCGCGCGTGGGCTTGCCTGCCCTTCCGCGCATTCCGAACGGCCTTCGCCCAGAGGTTGTGGGTCCCGTAGAAGGGATGGCAGTCCGGGCCCGCGCTCAGGAGGGCTAAGCGTGTCGCGTCCAGGCCCAGACCTGCTTGCCCATGTCGGCTGGGCGAGGGTGGCGGTGGCGCCGGCATATCGCAGACTCTTGCGGGAGCCCCGTTCACCGCCAGAGTGGCCTTTATACCACGCTAGTTCGGCAAAGTGCTCGTCATCAGCCTGCTATGTCGCTATGTCGAGGACGGGTCGGGGCGCGCTGGATCATCAACGCTGAGCCTCGAGCGAGCTGGTGTTTCACCAGCAGCCTGGGCATACGCAGCGATCAACTCCACGGTGCGGTCTACGGGGGTGCCCACGGGAGGTCCTGGCCGCCACAGCAGACCTGTACATAACGACTGTTGGGGTCAAAACGGTGTGGGTGGCCCGCGCTCGCGTCCGCTGCCCAGGCTGCTGGGTCATGCTTGCTGGCTCCCCAGGCCTCCGCCGATATGTTTTTTGTTCAATCCACGGCCCCAGAGGTCGCGACCCCTTCCCCGGGTTGGACTTTCGCCCCGGATCCATTCTTGATGGCCCCCAGGCCCGAGAGCGGGCCCCAGAGGCAGCAATCCAGGAAAAACGGCCAGACAGGAAATTACCCTGGCGACGTACCCAACCCCTACGCAATGCGGAGCACGAGTAGCCTGGGAGACGTTATACGAAGGTGATGACGTGGCATGGGCGCATATACTTCTGCGAGCGGCATTCGCGAGGCTCGCAGCCCCCAAGGATTGCGAGGTCCCGCTCAGATCTGCGCGGTGCTTCACCCCGCTGGACCCACCAGCAGTCCTGGAAAGTGGCAACAGTTTCGCAGATCGCAGCCCACCAGGGACGGCGAGATCCCGCTCAGATCTGCGCGGTGCCTCATTCCGCTGAACCCACCAGCAGCCCTCGAAAGTGGTGACAGTTTCGCAGATCGCAGCCCCCCAGGGAAGGTCCCGCTCAGACCTTCGCGGTGCCTCACTCCGTTGGACCCACCAGCAGCCTTGGAAAGTGGCAACATTTTCGCAGATCGCAGCCCCCCAGGGACGGCGAGGTCCCGCTCAGATCTGCGCGGTGCCTCACCCCGCTGGACCCACCAGCAGCTCTGGAAAGTGGCGACAGTTTCGCAGGTCGCAGCCCCCCAGGGACAGCGAGGTCCCGCTCAGATCTGCGCGGTGCCTCACTCCGCTGGACCCACAAGCAGTCCTCGAAAGTGGGAACAGTTTCGCAGATCGCAGCCGCCCAGGGACGGCGAGGTCCCGCTCAGATCTGCGCGGTGCCTCGCTCCGCTGGACCCGCCAGCAGCCCTCGAAAGTGGCGAAGGTTTCGCAGATCGCAGCCCCCCACCTACAGGGACGGCGAGGTCCCGCTCAGATCTGCGCGGTGCCTCACTCCGCTGGACCCACCAGCAGCCCTCGAAAGTGGCGACAGTTTCGGAGATCGCAGCCCCCCAGGGACGGCGAAGAGAGGGCAGGAGGAGGCGGGAGGAGGGGAAGGACGCGCGAGCAGTGCTCTATTCAAAACGAATACCGAACCAAAGAGGGTTGGGAAAAACATATCCTCGGATCTCTGGATCCACCGCCACGCTGTCGGTGTCGACAGTCTCCTTCGCCTCCTCAAGTCACACGGTGCCGTCCAGGAGACTGCTCGCTTCGCTGTCGCTGGGGGCGCCGACGTCCAAGTCCTCCTCGGCCCCGCCCTCCGCGACGCGCCATTCATCTGCGTCGCCCCTCCCTGTGAGCTCCGCCAGGGCCCGGTCGTTGCCGTGGCCGTCGCGGCTGCGCTGCCTGCCACAAGGGCGCCCCGTGGCGTGGCGACGCTGTCTGTTGGCTTCGTAGCCGCCGAGTCGAGGACCGGGCGTGGGAGCGGGGCGTGTCCCCGAGATCCGGGCGTTTCCGCTCAATTTCCGGGCCCCTGGGCCCTCACAGATCGATCCTGCTCGAACAGTGACGCAGAAAGACGGGGTCCGGGGCTCCTGTCGGGATTTTTGGCGCTGTTGCGTTTTTTGTTCGAAGCGTCGGATCTCAGGGGTGTCGCGTCGCCACAACGACATACGGTCGGGAACTTAGCTGCCTCGATTCGCCCGTGTTGGGACCCAGCACGTGCCGTGCTCAAACCGTCCGTGCCAATACTTGGCGTGTTGGCTTAACGTATTGGCCCACGTTTTGGCGAACTTGTGCGTCAGACATGCGTTTTCAGGATAGGTGTTGAGCTCCGTATCAATACGCTACGTGTTGCGTGTTGCGTATCGGGGCAGCTGAGGTCGGGAACTTTTGGATAGCGTGTCGCTCCGCCAGTTCTGGCCCACCGCGCTCTGGAGCGATATGCTGTCACTTCCAAGCCCCCAAGTTTCAACGTCCCGAGCTTTTCCCAGCCTCCCGTCCCGTGGAGCGGAGCGACACGCTATCCGCTCGCAAGGCATGGCGTGTCGCCGGGGCCGCCGCGGCGGCACGCTACCCCAAAGTTCCCGACCGTGAGGGCGCCCGTCGGCGTCGGACCAGGAAGCAGCCAGTGCACGGTGGGGCCTCGCAGAGAAAAGGCAGACGGGCAGGAAGCCCCTGCCCTCCTCCACCGCCTCCGCGCCCTGCTTCCCCTCTGCCCCTCCACCGCCTCCTCCACCGTCCTCCTCCTCCTCCTCCTCCTCATCCTCCTGTTTGCCACGCCATGCCGTTCGGCGGGGAGCTCTGGTGAGATTCACCCGGCCGATGTCACAAGGGCGGCGGGGGCTGAGGTGTGGGTGGAGGGCAAGCAACTTCATTCGTCCCATCGAGTGCAGCTGTGGCCGCGCCACAGCTTGTATTTCTGCGTTCGGTGCGGGTGCCCGGCCACGACCGATCCCCGGCACCTGCTGGGGGAGTGCGTCCTGCGGCTGCTGCTGCCTGCGACCTGGGGCGAGCGAGGAGAGCCTCGTCAGGCAATTCCGAGGCAATTCCTCCTCCTCCTGCGTCTCTCCTTCCGGATCGTCCTCCTGCTCTTCCCTTCCTCCCCTGGGCGCTA